TTCTGGTAGGTACCTGGGGGTGGTGGGCAGGGACATGGAGAAGGCCCCACAGGAGAGACAGAGCCCACTCAGCATGGCCTCTGCTCCCAAGGCCCATCAGGTTTGTCCCACCACACCCCAGGCCTCAGGCGCCACTCCAAGGCAGAACTGTCCTACCTCAGCCCACTCAGGCCCTTACACTATCCTTCTTGGCTTGCCCTTAGCCTTGAGCTTTTACCGTAAGCTGCCTCCTTGCTCTGTTCTGTTGTATCTCGAAGCTTTTGCTCTTCCACTTGGCTGTTGAGGGCTTTGACATCCACCTGATCCCAAAGAAATGAGCTAAATCAGGGTAGGGGACCAAGGGTGGGCCTTGAATGCTCTAACACAAACTGCTCAGAATTTACCCTCTTCAGAATCCTCCTATAGATCCTCAGTACCTACTGGATAAGGGTCTACCATCTGAACATGGTTTGTAAGCCCCTCACTGGTCTAGCCTCTGCCTCCTTCTCCAGCCTTATCTCAGTACCTTCTTCCTCTGCCCCACCCTCAGAGCTCTGTGCTTACAGTTCCCTGTGACATCTGAGGTTGTTTGGAACAAAGAGCCTTTGCCAGCTACTCCCTCCACTTGGAACTCTCTTTCTTCCTCTCTTTACCCAAACTCCTATTCATCCTTCAAGACCAGCTCAGGCCTCGCCTTCCTGATTCCTTACGCAGGTGCTACTCCCATAGAATCTAGGACCCACTGTCCACATTATATTGAAGTTTGCCTCTGTCGATGATCTCCTCCACCAGACTGTGAGCCCATTAAGGAAAGAGACTGGGCCTTAGTCAGCTTTGTACCCTACTGCCCAACCTAGTTCTTGGCCCAGACCAGACCCTGAGGAAACGCTTGCCAACCAGATCTCAATCACACCACACATCTCTCAGCCAACTACTTACTTGGGTCAGGCACTGAGCCACCACCATATGTTAATATTCACTTTCACACTTCATTTAGCTTCATTTTACTGAGAAGGAGCCTGGAGCTCAGAGAAGATAGATGACTCATTCAAAGCCACACATCTAGTAAACAGTAGACCTGGCCCTTGAGCATAGGTATGAGGTCTTTTCCAGAATACCATGCTGTATTCCACCCCGCCCCCCATATCCACCTACCCAGCAATCTATTTTTTCTTAAACTATCAATATTTTCTGTTTATTTTTTATTTTAATTCCTTTAAAACATTTCAAGAGAGTGTAAAAGGGAATACAGTTTAGTGAAGAGTAAGTCCCTCCCATCTCTGTCACTCAGCCTGGTTAACAGTTTCTTATGTAGCCTTCCAGACAGCATTTAGGCATACACAATACCAAATATTCTTCAGACTTCTTTTGGCTCCATGTTACCTGTCTCTTGAGAACCAGGCCACTCAGCCCAGAGCTGACTGGAGGAGAGTCACTGTCACTGGCTCCTCTTCCCCCAGTCTCTTCCCCTGCGCCCCCAGCCCGCTTCCTTCCCTCACCCGGGAGTGGATGCCTTCTCTCTCTCTCCTTCCTTTCCAGCTGGAGGGCCTGCTTAAATCAATGAGGGCCGTAACAGACACTGCTACATTCCTCTGTGGGTGCAGGAGTGAGGTGACCCCTGGTCCCAAGAAAGTCCCCATTGCCTACTTACCCCCATGCCTCGGGTCTGCACATTGAAGAATCGGCTCTGTTGCTCTTTTTCTCGATTTCTTCTAGCCTCGATGGCTGCCATCTCCTTGGGATCTGGTGACAGGTCTACCTTATACATCTGGAGCAAGTGTGGGGTGGAATGGCCAATCAGTGCTGACCACCATCCTTGACTACACCCCCACCCCTCTTCCTTTCTTCCTACAGCACCAATAACACCAGTTATTGATTCCTACTGATTTTACCTCCTGATATATTTCATACCTGTGTCCTACATCTATGCTGTCACCACCCTAATTCAGGCCTCACAATCAGGTGCCAGACAGTATCCTCAGGAGCCTCAGTGGTCTCCCTTGCTCCAGTGTTACCCTCTCTACTCTTTTCTCTGCACTAGCTACCAGAGTGATCTTTCTGAAAGCAAATCTGACCATGACACACCTCAGCTTAAAACCTTTAAAAGCAACAGGGCACCTGGCTGGCTCAGTCAGTGGAGCATGTGACTCTTGATCTCAGGGTTGTACGTTCAAGCTCCACGTTGAGTGTAGAGATCCCTTAAAAATAAAAAATCTTAAAAAAAAAACCTTTAAAAGCAGCATTAGGGGTACCTGGGTGACTCAGTTGGTTAACCTCAGTCATGATCCCGCCAGCGTCGGGCTCTCTGCTCAGCGGGGAGTCTGCTTCTCCCTCTCCCTCTGCCCCCCAGCCCCGGTCATGCTCTCTCTCTCAAATAAATAAATAAAATCTTTAAAAAAATAAATAAAAGCTTTAAAGCAAATGGCTTCCCAGTGTTTACAAGATAAAGTCTAACCCCCTTTGCTAGATTTATAAAAGTCTTCATGATCTGACCCTTGCTGATCTTTCCAAGTCTCACGCTCATTTATAACTCTCCTCCCTTCATGTTATGCTCTCTTCAGTTTTTCCCATTTTAGTAAATGGCACCACTATTTCCCTTTTTATTTGTTACCTATTCTCTAGTCATGTGAAAGGCTAGAGGGCTTACATTCACCTGTGTTCTTTCATATTTTGGGAAGCCCACTTTTGGCAACTGTGGCCAAAACCACAGCCAAAAACACTTTTGCAAACATAAATCTGATCATGTCTCTCACCTGCTTAAAATCCTCCACTGGTTTCCCACTGCACTTAGAATCAGATCCAAACTCCTTACCATGGGTTTCAAGATCCGGCTCCCGCACACCTTTCCAATTCATCCCACATCACAGTCTCCCTCACATTCCTCCAGGCACACTCGTCTCCTCTCAAGTCCTTCAACACAACTATTCCCATCTCAGGGCCTTTTTACGTGGCGTTTCTTTGTTCAGAATACCATTCCTCAACTCCTCCTATAGCTAGTTCCAATCCTTTATTTATTTATCCTTTTTTAAAATTTAAATTCAATTAACATATAAGGTATTATTGGTTTCAGAGGTAGAGCTCAGTGATTCATCAGTCGTATATAACACCCAGTGCTCATTACATTAGGTGCCCTCGTTAACGTCCATCACCCAGTTACCCTATCCCCCCAACCCCCTGATCCTTATAACCCACGTGCAAGTGAAGAAGCATGATAAAAGAGACCCATGAACCAACTCCCCAACTTAAGAAATAGAACTTGATCAATATTATTAAAGTGCCTTATGTCTCTTCTCCCTCATCCTTACCCTAAGAGATAACCACTGTGCAAATGTGACCATTTGCTTACTCATAGGCATTAATATACTATGCGTGAACTGAGGGTTGCCGGAGGGGAGGGAGGTAAGAGGATGGGTGAAAATGTCTAGAATTTTGCCTTTCTCATTTAAGTTTTTAATCCATTTGGAATTGCACCTTATATACAGTGTGAGAGGTAGGGATCCAATTTGATTTTTTTCCAAGTTCCATCTCATCTTTTTAAATGGAACACTAGTTCCTGTCAATTATATGAGATTGCTGTCCTTTGGTCATTTTGTCCCCCTAGCCCGATTGTGACTGTTTTTCCCAGTTGAATTCATTTGTGGTTGCTCTCCTAGATTCCATCAACCAAGCTTTCTCACTTTCCTGGACTTGTCATAAGACTTTTAGACTCTTCCCAGCCTCCAGATGTCATTTTAGAAGTGGTTTCAGGAATGGTTATGGCAACCACCAGACCCTTTCCATGTCTAAGTCTAAGCACCAACCCCAGCCAACTCATTCCATTTGTCACCACAATGTAAGGTCACTGAAGGGGAAGATTTGGCAGATATTTTAAGATTCTTGAGTTGCTAAGGCCATGACCTTGTAATGAGCAGGTGGTATAAGGTGATAGGGGGATGAAAGTATGAAGGAGAAGGACAGAAAATTCGGGGAACAGAGGGGGGAAAGGGACAGAGGGGGCAGAGTGGGGCGGGGGGAGGCAGAAAAGGAAAGGGGAAGGAGGGCAACAGGGTAGCAGACAGGAATGGAGGGCAGACAGCAAAAGAAGGGGAAGGAGGAAAGCAAGGTAGGGGGCCAGAGGGGGATGGAGAGGAGGAAATGGGGTGGGGATGAAGCATGAGGAGAGATAGATAAAATGGGGAGAAAGGAAGGAGAATAGAGGTGGAGAGCAGTGGCTTAGGGACCCTGACTCCCGGGGGTTCACACAAAATACCTTTCTTAGCAAAGAGTATCAATTTTGAAGCTCCCAGGTTGGGTCTAGGTTCAAGTGGCCAACAAGTGGCTCAGGTCCAAGACTATTCTTAAACTACAGCAACAGTCTCTGGACTCTGCTTGGAGAAAGAGGAGGGAGGCAGGGGATAGAGGCAGTACCTCTGGCCATAGCTTTCCCCAGCTCGTGACCCTGTCGCTCCAGAGTACCCTCATCTCCCTTCAAACTCCATCCCCCTTTTCACCCCAGCCCCCCTCCCACTCCACCCCATCCCTACCCCCATTCCACTGCACTTCCAACCCTACTTCACCCTCAGCTTGGTCTGAGCTCCCCTAACACCAAATCCTCCGGCCGGCCCCTCCTTCCCGTACAGCCCTCACTCCCTGGGGTCCTTCCAATCCCCGACCCTGTTCTTGTTTGAGCCTTCCAGCAGGCTAGGCTAAAGCCACAGCCAAGCTCCCACCTTTCTCTTGCCCTGGAGGGCATAGCCCTGCTGTGACTTGTTTCAGCAAGCAAGGACACGCCTCCCGCCCGCTTCCTCAGATCCCAAAAGCGGCTGCGCTCCTCTATGATTCAGTAGGCAGGGTCCCCGGTTTGCGTTGCCACGCAACAAGAAAGGGGGGCGGGACCCAAACGCCTCTTTTAAGCTCGCGCCCTGGCAACGGATTAACAAAATTTCTACGACACGCCCCTGGTTCCGCTCTCACCGGAAGCCGGAAATCCCGTTAGGCCTGGACTTATTCTCGCGAGGTTTGTCGTACGCCCGGCCTGCACTGCGGTGTTTCCCGCGCGGGCTACCCCAGTTCCCGGGCGTACGGCGCGGCCTTTTGTACAGCCGCCGGCGCCGTCGCCGTCATGGGTTTCCTGAAACTGATTGAGATCGAGAACTTTAAGTCGTACAAGGGTCGGCAGATTATCGGACCGTTTCAGAGGTTCACAGCCATCATTGGACCCAATGGCTCTGGTGAGATAAACCTGGCTGCGGCCCTGCGCACGTCCCAGCCTGGACCCCCTAATCCGGTAGCAGAGTAGTACAACCCAGCCCGTGCGACCTGAAATGTCGCGAACCCTCACAGGTTCCTTTCCCTCCGGAGCGTGTTCAGGCCGAACCCGCTTTCCCCGCTCGGGTGCTCTGACTCGAATCTCTTCCCCAGGTGTCACTTGTCTGCTCTTTGCGCGGCCCCCGCCCGTGAGCGAGTGGTACGGGCCGATCTGTACGTTACCCCGCCCACTGCCCCCTCCCGCCAAAAGTGCCGCGTCCGGAGTTGTCAGCCAGCCGCGGGCCGCGCAGTTCCCCGCCGTACCTGCTGGATCTGGCTACTTCCCCTGCCTTGTTTGAACTCTCCGGAAAGTGTGGGACTGCTGGTAGCCCTCCCAAGGCCTCCGGTCCCCAGCGGTACACTTTTCCCTTAGCCCAGCGCCTCCTCCCGCCTCGCATTGGTATGCTCCAATTCCTTCTTTTTTTTTTTTACTTTCCTCCCGAGGCGGCACTTTTGAATTTCTGACCCAGCGCTCCCGTCTCCAGCGGGAGTGCTTGGGGTGTCCACCCTCCACCTCCATGTCAGAGGTGGGGATGGTTTGAAATACCTCCTTTGTTACCACTGGAACCATTGAAAAGAACTCATTCGCTTGCCAAATTTATTGAATGCTTACTGTTTCATAAGGAGTTGTTCAAGTTGCTGTGGAAACAGCGGAGAATAGAGTAAGCCTTGCTCTCAGGGGACTTGCATTCCAGAGGGGAAAGACAATAATAAAGAAGGAGAAAATAAGAACTTTTGGCTGTGATGAATGCTATACAGGAAATTAGGTTGATGGGTTACAGTGACTTGGGTGGTGTCTTTAGAAAGAGCGGTCAGTAGATACTGTATTATATATTTGAAAGTTGCTGAGAGAATAGATCACAAGGAAAAATTGTTTATGTGAGGTGATGGATGTTAACTTATTGTGGTAATCATTGCTTGCTATATGCAAATGTGGAATCATTATGTTGTTACTTGAAACTAATACAATGTTATATATCAGTTATATCTCAACAAAATTTGGGGGTGGGGGGAAGGGCGGTCAACTTAACTCCTCTGAATGATACGCTATTGGAGCACCTGGGTGACTCAGTCGGTTAAGCATCAGTTAAGCGTCGGTTAAACTCTAGATCTCAGCTCTAGTCTTTATCTCAGGGTGGTCAGTTCAAGCCCCCCTGGGGAATGGAGCCTACTTAAAAAAAAAAAAAAAAAGTAAATAATACACTATGGATTTCTCCCATCTACCCCTACAAGCAGTCTGTTTGGAATCCTGCTGTGTTCCTCCACCCCAGAAATGTTATAGCTAAATCATTTCCTAGCATGAGGGGCTGCCCTTGCTGACATACCTCAAACTCATGAACCTTCGCTGGAGTTTTGCCTGTGTTTGGTGCTCTTTGTAGAGCAAGGTTTCTCAACAGCGGCACTGTTGACATTTCTAGCAAGGTAATTCTTTGTTGTGGGGTTGGTCCTGTGCATTGTAGGATGTTTAGCAGCATCCTGGGCTTTTACCCACTAGGTGGTAGCACCCCCACCCCCCAGGTATGACAACCAAAAATGTCTCCAGACATTGCCAGTGTCCCCTGGGAGGTGGGATGAATCACTCCCTGCCTCCCCTTACCTTGATTGAGAACCACTGGCCTAGAGGGCTAATGCTTGGGGTTCCACTTCAGTTTCTTAGGATTTTGGTGTGGTGGCCCCTGTGAAAAGAGCCAGAATGCACCTCTGAGCATTCACTCCTTTCAGCATGGGTAGATTTGTATATGCAGCTGTTCCAAAAAGATCCTTAGTTTGGACCCCCTTCCCCCCCACTTCAAAGCCCACCTGCACAAGCCATTCCTTGGGTCCCCTCAGTGAATTACTCTTTTTCTCTGGCTCACAGTAGATACTTGGTACATGTTAATGTTTATATTTTTCTGTCTTGTATTCATGGGATATGTTTTTGTATCTTCATCACTGGTTTATGAGTGCCCCTGCAAAGAAGACATTCCTTAAAACATTTTATCAGTATTCAGCTCATAATGCATGTTATATAAATGTTTACAGTATTGAGTGATTGCTAGTAGGGAGGGCTTTGGTTGTGAGACATCCTTACTATCCCTGGAGAGCATGGGAGAAGCCCAAAGGTTGGGAGTGGACGCCTCGAAGTCTGACTCCCGGTCTGCTTGTTGTGTTAGCCCTGCTCTGATGAGGGAGCCGGAGCTAAGAGTTCAGACCTGTGTTAGGATAGGACTGCCATTTATTGAGCACCACTGTGTGTCAGGTACTTTATTTATTGGAACCTTTTACATTTAAATTCTCAAAATGACCCTATGAGGGAGATACCATTGTCTTGGTTTTATAGGTGGGAAGGCTGAGGCACAAACAGTTATGATAACTTGCACACTGATTCTCAGAGCCAGGGTCAGAACCTGTGCCTGTCATACTTCAAAGCCTGTGCTTCTGCCACTTCAGTCGAGAACTGTGTGCTCAGCATTATTTTAAAGGCTCTACCTATCAGTCATGTTTTTTTTAGATTTTCCAGGTGAGGGAATGGAAGGTCAGCTAAGATTTAGTGAAACTAAAAACCTGGTCTATTGTACTAGAATCCGAGCTCTTTTTTTTTTTTTTTTTTAAGATATTATTTGAGAGAGTAGGAGCGGGGGTGGGGTGGAGCAGAGGGAGAGGGACAAGCAGATTCTGCACTGAGCATGGACCCTGACATGGGGTTCGATCCCACCACCCTAAGATCACAACCTAAGCCTAAATCAAGAGTCGGATACTCAACCGAATGAGCCCAGGTACCCCTAGAACCTGAGCTCTTAATCACTGTTTTGTACTGCCTCTGTGGAAGGAACCAGGCTGCCATTTGTATAGCTGGGTAGAAAGGTGTGGGAAATCAGATCCTCAGTTCAAGGTCATATAACATGTTAGGGGAGAATCTTGAGATAGAATTTATAGAGATTGGCCTGTTCTCCACTCCCCTGAGCCCAGCCTAAATTAAAAAAAATTTTTACCTGAGCCTAAAATGAAGAAAGTAACAATTGTGACTCCACTATTGAAAAGATAACCACTCTTTTTTTTTTTTTTAAGATTTTATTTATTTGTCAGAGAGAGAGAGAGTGCACAAGCAGGGGGAGCAGGCAGAGGGAGAAGCAGGCCCCCTGCTGACCAAGGAGCCCAGTGCGGGACTGGATCCCAGGACCCTGACCAGGATCCCAGGATCATGACCTGAGCTGAAGGCAGACACTTAACCAACTGAGCCACCCAGGTGTCTCAAAGATAACCACTCTTAATGTTAAGAATCTTATTTATTTGAATAGCTCATACATGCACACAATATAAAATTCAAAAAATCCCAAAGGATAGACAGTAAAAAGACTCCCTTTCCTGACCTGTTACCTATTTTCCTTTGGGAAGCAACCACTGGTTACAGTGTTTACATTTTCATGTATTTTTTCCTATGCCTTTGCCTGTCCCCAAGTTTTTATTATGAAAATATTCAAACCTACATGTGTGTTTTTGCTTAATCATTTGAAAGTAAGTTGCAGACTTAATGGCATTTCACCTCTAGGGATTCAGCATTTGACTCCTAAAATTATCATTTTCCTGTGTCACCACTAGACCGTGATCACACCTGGGAAAACTAATTTCCTTGTTATCTAATTCGTATTCAGGCTTCCCTAATTGCTCCCCAAAATGTCTTTTGGGGTTTTTTTGTTTGTTTTTTTAAGGGAAACGAATTCAGTTAAAGTTTTTGCACTGCCTTTGCTTGTTTCTCAGTGATTGCTTTCTTTAGTGGTTCTCCAAACCTTTCTTTTTAGATATTGACCTTTTTTTTTAAGATTTATTTATTTATTTGAGGCGGCGGGGAGTGATTGTGTGCGCATGGGGGGATGAGGCAGGGCAGGGCAGAGGGAGAGAAGTGGATTCCCAACTAAGCGGGAAGCCGAGCTGGGACATGGGACTCTTATCTCACAACCCTGAGATCATGACCTGAGCCAAAATCAAGAGTGGATGCTTAACTGAGCCACCCAGGTGCCCCTAGACATTGACTTTTTGAAAAGATCAGGCTAGTTGTCTTGGAGAGCATCCCAGATTCTGTCTTTGTCTTAGGATTTCCTCATGGAGAATCTTAAGATTTACCATGTTCCTCTAACTGCTATATTTCCCGTAAACTGGAAGGTAGATCTAAAGGCTTGTTTAGATTGAGGTTAAATATTTTTGGCAAGATACTTCATAGATGGTGATGTACGCGTCATACTATATTACAATAGGAATATGCCCTTTTTGAGAGAGAGAGAGAGCATGTGTGCATGAGTGTGCCCATGGGGTGGGAGGGGCAGAGGGAGAGAATCTTAAGCAGATTCCATGCTGAGTGGGGAGCCCCATGTGGGGCTCAATCCCACAACCCTGAGATCACAACCCAAGCTAAAATCAAGAGTCTGACACCCAACCAACTGAGCCACCCTGGTGCCCCTAGGAATATGCCTTTTAAAAAATTATAGTAAAATATACATAGCCAGATTTGCCATCTTAATCATTTTTTAAGTGTACAGTTCAGTCATGTTAAGTATCTTCACATTGTACAACTGACCTGAACTTTTTCATCTTGCAAAATTGAATTTGTACTCAATAGCAACTCCCCATTATTACCTTCCTTCAGCTCTTGGTTGGTTTTGTTTTGTTTTGTTGTTGTTGTTACTTTTTTTTTTTTAAAGATTTTATTTATTGAGAGAGAGAGCGAGTGCACAAGCAGGAGGATCGGCAGGCAGAGGGAGAAGCAGGCTCCCCACTGAGTAAGGAGCCCGACACGGGACTCCATCCCAGGACCCTGGGATCATCACCTGAGCCAAAGGCAGACACTTAACTGACTGAGCCACCCAGACGTCCCTGTTTTTTTTTTACTTTTAAACTTGGTTGAGATCATACTGTATTGAGTTTTATATCTGCTTATTTTTTCTATTGTGGGCATTTCCCCATGTTATTAAAAGTTGTAGAACAATCCATTGTGTGAATATGCTGTTTCCTTAGTTGGGGTTCTAGTCTTTAACTGTTCTAGGTAATAACTGCATAGGGACTGTTTCTCTAAGCTGTTAAACCAAGGCTTTGGTGGGGCGGAGCTGTGTTTCCTGACTTCCCCTCCTTTGCTTTGCCCTCTGCTCCCTTAGGTAAGTCAAATCTCATGGATGCGATCAGCTTTGTGTTGGGTGAGAAAACCAGCAACCTGCGAGTAAAGACCCTGAGGGACCTGATCCATGGAGCTCCTGTGGGCAAGCCAGCTGCCAACCGGGCCTTTGTCAGCATGGTCTACTCTGAGGAGGGTGCTGAGGACCGCACCTTTGCCCGTGTCATTGTTGGTGGGTGAGGCTGGCCAGAAGGCCCCCCCTGGGTCCTGGGAGGTGACTAGACTAGTTGGCTGGGATAGGAGGGAGGTCTGACCTTCAGCCAACTCATGCACTGTCTTGTAGGAGGTTCCTCTGAGTACAAGATCAACAACAAAGTGGTCCAGCTACATGAATACAGTGAGGAATTAGAGAAGTTAGGCATTCTCATCAAAGCTCGTAACTTCCTCGTCTTCCAGGTGAGCATTTTTAACAGTTACTGGCTATCTGCTGTTTGCTGACCCTTGTCCCATTCTCAGTGGGCCTGCTCCATCTTGATCTTCATCTCTTCCCTGAACTAATGTAGCAGCTTCCTCACTGGGCTTACTGACTCCAGTCTGGCCCCTTCCAGTTCATCTCTTAGGCTAGGTTCATCTTATGAGGGCACAGATCTGTTTCTTTCCTTTTTCTCCTTAAAGCATTTCAGTGATTTCTCATTGCCTTATAAGGTGGTTGTCAAATTGTAGTCTCTGGATCAGCATCAACTGGGGACATGTTAGAAATGCACATTCTCTGGTTCCATCCTAGACCTATAGATGTAGAGACTATGGGGTGGGGCGCAGCACTGGGTGTTTTACCAAGCTTTCCAAGCTATTATGCATGTTGAAGCTGGAGAACCATTGTTTTAGCATAAACTCCAAACTCCTGTCATTCAGGAAACATCCTTTGGTTCTTGTCCACCTCACTAGCCCCTCATCTGCCAGTACTTTTCCCTTCCAACCCTGCATTCCAGCCCTATTAAACCATTATAGTTCCCACAATTCACCTGCTTTGTTTGGCCTGCAGGCCTTTGCGTATTAATTGTCCTTTACATGATATAACTTTCTCTCTTAACTTTCTTGGTTCTTCCCCATCTTTCAAACTCAGCTTAGATGTCACCTTTGGGAAGCTTTTCTGGACAGACACCCCTGCCTGTCTGCCACCTACAAGCTTCTTTTAGTCCTTTTTCTGTGCTACTTCTGTCACTGCATGTAACACATGGCATTGTCTTTGCTTTTGTCCCTTTTGCTTCCTGCGCACCTCAAGAGGCAGGGAATGTGTCCTTAAAGCCCAGTGTGAAATGTGGCACCTAGTGCAGGGAGAGGGTCAGTGACCTTTTTCTGAATGATCCAGTGGCAATGGGTGGAGGGAACTGGGCCGGCTAGGCTCTAAGTGGGGAGAGTGTTTTGACCTTTACTAGGGTGCTGTGGAATCTATTGCCATGAAGAACCCCAAAGAGAGGACAGCTCTATTTGAAGAGATCAGTCGCTCTGGGGAGCTGGCCCAGGAATATGACAAGCGAAAGAAGGAAATGGTGAAGGCTGAAGAGGACACACAATTTAATTACCATCGCAAAAAAAACATCGCAGCTGAACGCAAGGAGGCCAAACAGGAGAAAGAAGAGGTAGGTGGCTGGGCTGCCTGTGGGCTCTTAGGGGCCAGGGTGGAGCCAGTACCTTACTGATGCACCCCTGCTTCCATGCCCTCGTTTGCACAGGCTGACCGCTACCAGCGCCTGAAGGATGAGGTGGTGCGAGCTCAGGTGCAGCTGCAGCTCTTTAAGCTTTATCACAATGAAGTGGAAATTGAGAAGCTCAATAAGGAATTGGCCTCTAAGAACAAGGAGATCGAGAAGGACAAGAAGCGAATGGACAAGGTAGAGGATGAGCTGAAGGAGAAGAAGAAGGAGCTGGGCAAAATGATGCGGGAGCAGCAGCAGATTGAGAAGGAGATCAAGTAAGAGGCAGGCCTGGGCCTGCAACCTGTGGGAAACCAAGAGGCTGTGCTGTTTCCTAGGGCTCCTCTGAGCCTAGAGTCCAGTGCTCGCACTAGTTTGTCTTCCTCTTGACTTGCTTTGGCCAGAACCAAGCACATTTCTTGACTTGCATTTTAGACAAATAGAACATTTAAGTATTCAGACTCTGGGAAGATAGATGGGTACTCATAAAAGAGAGGCCTTGAAAGGGGTGGTGACCTTGGCAAGTGAGAGGAAGTGATGGGAGGCCCAGCTCCTAGAGTGTCTGGGAATGCCTTCCTGGAAGAGGAAAACTGGAGCTAGAAGTTTAAAGGACGGGAATTTGAAAAGGTTAGATCAGATGGGGGCAACTAAGTGGGCACAGGGCGTTATTGGGAGTTGTTCCTGAGGAGCCTGGCCTGGCTAGAGCTGAGGCAGGAGTGGTAGCTCTACCTAATGGAGTGGCTAGAATGTCAGGCTGAAGCCATCAGTTCCAGGAAATAGTCAGACTGGCCCTTTTCCGAGGATCTGTGCAGCATTAGCCCCTTGTTCTTTAGGCAATTCCCTGAGGCTGGCTGGGGGCCTCAAGCCCCCCTTTGGGTAAAAAGCCTGGGAACCCCCCCTTCTCCCACACTGCTAACTGATATACTCCTCTCCCCTCTGGCAAAAGGGAGAAGGACTCAGAGTTGAACCAGAAGCGGCCTCAGTACATCAAAGCCAAGGAGAATACCTCCCATAAAATCAAGAAGCTGGAAGCCGCCAAGAAGTCCCTACAGAATGCTCAGAAGCATTATAAGAAGCGTAAAGGTGACATGGATGAGCTGGAAAAGGAAATGCTATCAGTAGAGAAAGCCCGGCAGGAGTTTGAGGAACGGATGGAAGAGGAGAGTCAGAGTCAGGGCAGAGACTTGACCTTGGAGGAGAATCAGGTAAGCTCTGGGAGGGTTGGGGGTGGGATGGGGGATTGCTCTGCTGACAGAGACTGATTTGGTTGGTTGTTCCTAACACAGGTGAAGAAATACCACCGGTTGAAAGAAGAAGCCAGCAAGAGAGCAGCTACCTTGGCCCAGGAGCTGGAGAAGTTCAATAGAGATCAGAAAGCTGACCAGGACCGGCTGGATCTGGAAGAGCGGAAGAAAGTAGAGACAGAGGTGGGCATGTGTTTGTTATAAGATGAGGGATAATGGGCCAGAGAAAAAGAAGTGATGGTGGTCTTAACAGTAATGACAATAGCTAACAACTAATGACCACTTACTGTGTGATAGGCACTGTATTTTACTTGTGTCCAGTCACTTAATTCCTTGTTTTCCAAATGAGGAAACAATAGTGCAGACGTGAAGTAATTTGCCTAAGGTCACATCACTATGAAGTGGCAGAACCAGGATGTGAACCTGGGTAGTCTAGCTCTGAAATCCACACTCTTATCAAGTATACCTTGCTTACAGCCTTCCTAATAACAATAGTAGTTGTTACAGTGCTCCAAGAAGAGCCTACGATGTTTCAGGCATTCTGCTAAGCACTTCCTTTAAAGATCTAAAAGAAGGTGGTAGGCATTAATATTAATAGCTATACTGTGTTAAGCACTTAATATGTGCTTTATGAAGGGGAGGTCGCCTACATTTTACAGATGAGAAAACAGGTGCAGAAAGGCCTGGAAAGCTTTACTTTGCCTTGGTTTGAGCCTCCCTGTTTGGTGAGGAAGCTAGCCTGAGCTAAGTAGAACACCGTGAGAGGGTCTCAGGGATCTGGGAGGCCCATCAATTAGCAGAGCCACACTGAACACTGTTGTGTGTCTGCTTTTTAGTATGTTTCCCCCATTAGTGACAGATTGTCCTGAACCGTTGGGCTCTTGGATGAGTGGGCACATAGCGGGTATAAGCCAGGGCCCCGTGGTCTTGGAGTTAACTTGCTCAACCTCTGGTCATGGTGTGTATTTATCTTTCTTCCAGGCCAAGATCAAACAAAAGCTGCGGGAGATTGAAGAGAATCAGAAACGGATTGAGAAACTAGAGGAATACATCACTACTAGCAAGTATGTGGCTCTGCAGCCTTTCTTCTTTTATTTATTTATTTTTTATATTTTTATTTTTTATTTTATTTTTTTAAAGATTTTATTTATTTGAGAGAGAGAGAATGAGAGATAGAGAGCACATGAGAGGGAAGAAGGTCAGAGGGAGAAGCAGACTCCCCGCTGAGCAGGGAGCCCGATGCAGGACTCGATCCCGGGACTCCAGGATCATGACCTGAGCTGAAGGCAGTTGCTTAACCAACTGAGCCACCCAGGCGCCCTACAGCCTTTCTTCTTACTTCCAGGCTTGTTCTTGTGAACCCTGTTGGTCCTGCCCCTCCCCAGGCAGGATCAGCCTGGAATATTTTCTCACCAGCCAGGGTAACCCCTCTGTTCCCTCACTTTGTAGGCAGTCCCTAGAGGAGCAGAAGAAGTTGGAGGGGGAGCTGACAGAGGAGGTGGAGATGGCCAAGCGGCGTATTGATGAGATCAATAAAGAGCTGAACCAGGTGATGGAACAGCTGGGGGATGCCCGTATCGACCGACAGGAGAGCAGCCGCCAACAACGAAAAGCAGAGATTATGGAAAGCATCAAGCGCCTATACCCTGGCTCTGTGGTAAGAGTGGAAAGGGAACTAATTTCCTGAGCACTTACTCTCCCACTCACTGTCAGATAATTTTCCCAGCAGCCCTGTGAGGACAAGGTTGCTAATCCCTTGTTTATAGCTGGGGGAACAGGCTCAGAGAGGTTAAGTGACATGCCCAAAACAGCACAGCTTATAAGTGGAAGAACTACAGTTCAAACTCAGTTGTTCTGACTCGTGACCTAATGTTCTTTTCATCACACCAGTTGCATCTTCCTGGAGGTTTTGTCTTGCTGTGTCCACTCCTCTGTGGAAGGCGGGGAGACTGGGTAGGCCTTTCAAAGGGGGAGGGGTCACAGGAGAGGGATTAGTCTCCCAGGAAGTAACTGCAGGCTTCTATATATGATCTCCCTCGGCATGTACCAACTGATTCATTTGCTTATAGGGACATTCTAGGCTTTATCAGAGCTCTTGGCCTCTTGAACCAAATCCTGAGTTTCCAAGGTTCCCTGAATATTATCTCTCTATTGCTGTAATTCCGTCCCTGGGTTCAACTTAATTTGTTTCCACAAATATTTCATGATCTCTCCTCTAGACACTGCTGGGGAGTTTATAAGGATGAATTAGGCTCATTCCCTGCCCTTGAAGATCTTACCCTTTATCTGATAGTCCTTAGGGAACCACGATTGGTTTAGAGGGCATGGGGGACGTGAACTGGAAAAAGATTTATTTTGCTGGGTGCTTGTGAGAATCTGAGGTATAAGGTATCTGACCTAGCGCCTGGGGCAGCAGTGGTCTGTGAAATGGTAAAAGTGAGGCTTAGAAAGATGCTTTTGGGGTTCAGGCATGACTGAAGTGATTGTTGCTTTGGGGCCAGAGTAAGGTTTTCCTCCATAGCACAGAAGCTGTATTTCTCACACAGATTTTGGTCTGCCCCTTTCTGAGCTGGGAATTGGGGTTCTTGAGCCAGTTCCCAAAAGCCTCATGCTTTAATTCTTTTCTGACTTTCCTCAGTATGGCCGCCTCATTGACCTCTGTCAGCCCACACAGAAGAAGTATCAGATTGCTGTAACCAAAGTTTTGGGCAAGAACATGGATGCCATTATCGTGGACTCTGAGAAGACAGGCCGGGACTGTATTCAGTACATCAAGGAACAGCGTGGGGAGCCTGAGACCTTTTTGCCTCTTGACTACCTGGAGGTGAGGCTGGTGGGGATGGGGTCAGGGCAGTGTGAGAGGGCCCCTCCTCCTAGCCCTCTGTGTTCTGCCACTTACTGAGCTGTTTCCACAGGTGAAACCTACAGATGAGAAGCTCCGGGAACTGAAGGGGGCCAAGCTGGTGATTGATGTGATTCGCTATGAGCCACCCCACATCAAAAAGGCCCTGCAGTATGCTTGTGGCAATGCCCTCGTCTGTGACAATGTGGAGGATGCTCGCCGCATTGCCTTTGGAGGCCACCAGCGTCACAAGGTTTGGATTCTCTTGTCCTCATTGGAGGTGGAGAGTCCTTGTCCCCATTAGTATTGGAGATTCTCCTATTCATCCTCTCCCCCTCTTCTCGCTTCTCCCTACTGTGTGTAGACAGTGGCACTGGATGGGACCCTGTTCCAGAAGTCAGGGGTGATCTCTGGTGGGGCCAGTGACTTGAAGGCCAAGGCTCGGCGCTGGGATGAGAAAGCAGTAGATAAATTGAAAGAGAAGAAGGAGCGGTTGACAGAGGAGCTGAAAGTAAGTCAAAGGCAGCACCGTCCCTAGGGGTTGGACTCCTAAGGCCAGGCCAGCCAGTGCCCTTCTTACCCCCTACCCCTTCCCTTGTCAACTTCAGGAGCAGATGAAGGCAAAGCGGAAAGAGGCAGAGCTACGTCAGGTGCAGTCTCAGGCCCATGGACTGCAGATGAGGCTCAAGTACTCGCAGAGTGACCTGGAACAGACCAAGACACGACATCTAGCCCTGAATCTACAGGTGGGGCCTGGCCTTCATTCCTGTCCTCCAAAGGCTACCCTCACATGGCATTCCTGGCTGAGGTTCCTTTGGGGGTGTGGGGGGGTGGGAACTTGTCCCATCTCCCTCCACCCAGCCTGCTTCGGGGAACCAAGCATAGCAGTCAGCCAGCCAGGGTTTCAGATCTCAGCTCTGTATGTTGGGAGGCAACTTACTTAATATGTCAGTATCAGGTTTTCATCTGTTTGTAAAATGGGAGTCAGAATTATCACCTGCTTTATACCATTCTTACAAAGATTGAATGAATTCATAACATGTAAAGTAATTAGACTGATTCCTTGAACCCAGTAAGTGCTCAGTAAATATTAGATGCTATTATTAGCATCATTTATTCAACAGATACCTAAGCTGTTTCGAAAAGTGAACTGAAAGTAAGTACAGGCATTTCAGTCTCTGTGGGTGGGAGTTCTTCTAGGTGTGTTAATGTGTTTGATCATGGGGTGCTTCCCGAGACCAACCTGGAGGCATTATGTAAAATGTAGTATAAATATCTTTTTACCTTTTTCTAAAATCAAAAAAGTCTCAATTCCAAGGGTTATACATAAGGGAGTGTGGACCTATAATTGACGATGTTTACTCTGTGCCCAGCCCTGTGAGTTGAAGCTGGCCGACTGGAGGACGGGGAGGAAGCTGTGTGATGGTTCACGTGGGAGATAATGGAACCTTTACTGGGTAGTTCTAAGCCAAGTTTTCTCAGCATGTGGAGCGCTAGCTCTTCCTGTCCAGGGGCCAGTGTGCTCAGAGTGGCTCTTTCCTTCAAGGAGCCTGGTCTCTTTTTTCCCTCAACCCTGTTCCCTGCAGGAAAAGTCCAAACTGGAGAGTGAGCTAGCCAACTTTGGGCCTCGCATTAATGATATCAAGAGGATCATCCAGAGCCGAGAGAGGGAAATGAAAGACTTGAAGGAGAAGATGAACCAGGTTGGTAGGGGCTGAACTGTGCCAGCGTATGTAGTGGGGCAGGACGGGGCTGGCAGCAGCACTCTGACCTGAAGGACCTTTACCCTCCCTCGCTTCTCCCCTCAGGTAGAGGATGAGGTGTTTGAAGAGTTTTGTCGGGAGATCGGTGTGCGCAACATCCGGGAGTTCGAGGAAGAGAAGGTGAAGCGTCAGAATGAAATTGCCAAGAAGCGGTAGGTGGAAGTATGGGTACAGGAGGACTCGGGGGTGTCCTTGAGCCCCCAGCCTGATATCCTGGGAAGTCACATGGCATCATAAGACAGGGAGCAGCTCTTAGAACAATGGGTGTTTACTGTAGGTCAGCTTTAAAGAACAGGGACATCAGGGAGGCGGTGTGGCATAGTCTTGTGGTTAGAGTGCCAGCTTTATTTATCTATCTGTCTATTTAATTTGTTTATTATGTCAGAGTGCGCGTGTGCGCACAAGCAGGGGGAGTAGCAGGCAGAGGGAGAGGAGAAGCAGACTCCCTGCTGAGCAAGGAGCCTGATACGGGACTTGATCCCAGGGCCCCGGGATCATGACCTGAGCTGAAAGCGTTCGCTTAACCGACTGAGCTTCGCAGGCGTCCCAAGAGTGCCAGCTTTAAGCATGGTTTACCTGGGTTAGAATCCTAGCTCCCCAACTTGTTATCTTGGGCAGTGAGTGACTCGACCTCTCTGTCTCTGAGCCCTAGTTTCTTTATCTGTAAAGTGGATTAATACTGATGCCTATCTCATGGCATTATTGGGCAGATCAGATGAACTAGTCTTTCTAAAGCATTTAGCATAATACTTAGCACCTACTAAGAGTAGTAAATGCTAGCTTTTATTATTGTCATTTTCCTGATAGGCAATGGGGTGGGGTCTGGGAGGAATGAAGTTCTAGGTTGGAAGAATAGTAAGAACAAAGCAACAGTTTCTCTTCTCTTCCCCTCTTTAGTTTATCCATTCATTTAACAAACTTTTCTTGAGTACCTATGTTGTACCAAGTTGTCCTGTGCTAGGTATTGGTGGGGAGATAGGGGTGAGACAGACAAACGTGACAGTCTCTGAAAGAGGTCACCGCCTGGACCCTGGGACTCAGTCTGCAGTTCATGTAGCCCATGGCCCATATAGTAAATATGCATTGCCCTCCTACCCCTAAGCCAGGCTCAAGGGATATAGAATGGACTCTGAGACTGTCCCTGTCCTCAGAGAGTTATGGAATAATTGGGAAGACAAACAAGTGGGTCAACAATTTCAGAACAGTGTCCTTGATGGTGTACTTGATTTACATAGAAAATACAGAGGAAATGTTCAAAGAACTGCAAATCAAGAGGAAAAATAAAAACAGGAGACCCAGTAGAGAAATGGACAGAGGATGTAGTTAGCATTTCATGGAAAAAGAAGCACACAGGGCTGATAACTACAAATTGATGTTCAGTCTTGTTCCTAATCAGCAAACTATAAATTAAAACAGTCTAGCAGTGTTTGGTGAAAATAAGTCTACATAAGCTCTGTGGCTTAGCAAAGCCACTCCTGGCTGGGTATATATCTCAGAGGGTCTTGCCACTGGGTCACAAAGAGACGCATTCAGGCTTGTCTGTCTTGGCATCATTTGTGGTAGTAGGATGTTGGTGGCAATGTGGACAGCCATCACTTATGGAAAATATAAGTTAAATGTGATGAATATACAGACTATACAATACTGTGTAGCAGTTGAAAGCAGGAACTGGATTTATAGGCAGTAACATGGGTAAATTTATAACACTGTGCGTTTGTGTAAGTTTAAAAACAAGCATATTTTACAAGGATATGCATTCTTAAGGCTATACACGTATGTATGTATGTATACATGTACGTCACTTTGGAGTACATGCTCACCATAGGGAAAATAATGGGAGTGGAAATCAGGAATGGAGACAAGGGTCTTGCACAGACAGCGAACATCAGCATGTAATGAACTGTGGGATATAATTAACTGCACCAAAAAGGGAGAAAGCCCAGAAAAGTGTAATAGAAACGAAGAACCTGCTCACAGCTGTCGGGAAAGCTTTTACAGAACAACAAGTGATGAACTAGATGCCTGTAGAGTGAGTAGGACTTAGCCAGCTGGGCAGCAGACAGAAGGGAGTTCCAGGCAGTGAGAACAGCATGCTCAGAGGTGTGAGAGAGTATACCTTGTACTGGAAACTAAGTAGTTTTTGAATGTCTGGAGCATACAAATGGGGTCAGGAGGAAGGCGGGGGTGGTGGACAGGTCAGCAGGGGCCAGATCACAGAGGGCTTTATGAGTCATGCTTAGGAGATTGGACTTAAAATTGCATAGCTCAAAATTATAGAGTTAATTACATTCCATTTGGATTATAGTGACTAATAGGTTTAAGCTGCTAGCATGACATCTGGCAGCATCTGTCACACCATATTGGGGGAGTGGGGAGGCAGTTGGAAATTAGCCCTGCCTGGCCTGCTAGTATCTGGATGCTGGTTATATACTCTTGAGTTTCCGAAGAGACAGGGAGCAGGGCAATGGCAGGAATCTAGTATGTTCTCCATGGCTTTTTTTTTTTTTTTTTTTACTACCCAAGCTCTGCTCCTTGAAGATTCTGGGATTTGGGTGTGTTGGGGGGTGATAGTTGGAAAGAAAGCCCGTGAGCAAATGTGAGCAGAATGCAGCCAGTATACCTGTCAATAATGATGGTAACTAAAATTTATTAAGTTCTTACTGGGTGTCCAGCATGCTTCTCAGGACTTGATGCATATTAATTCATTAAAAAATCTCCCAATAACTCTTGAAGTAAGTACTATTGTTGTTTCCGTTTTACACATGAGGAGACAGAGGCGTGGAGAGTATAACTTGCCCAAGATTACACTACTAGTAAATGGCAGGGTTTGGATGCCAGACCTCTTTTCCCATCATATTATATTGCGATGGTGCCATAGGAGAAGGAGCCTGGATTTTTTGTTAGACCTGGCTTCCAATCTCACATGTGCCCATTTACTAGCTGTATGGCCTTGGGCAAGGTCTTTTACCTCTTGGCCCATGTTTCCTTATTTGTAAAATTAGGATAATCCTATTTGTGGAACTATTAATTAGAGGATTAGAGGTAATTATGTAAAGTACACAGAAACTTAATAAATAGGAATTATCATAGCTGGTGGGTTCAGGTGGACCTTTTTGCACCTGAACTTGGGAGGGCTCTGGAGTCTTCCAGTATATAAAAGGGGATTAGTGGAGTTTGGCCCAATCTCCCCTGCCTTGTGCCATATCCACAAGGTTAGGCTGAGGGACTTAGTTCTCCATCTTCAGGGAACAGTTTTATGTGGATGTGAAGGCATGAGCTGAGTGGTGACTGAAATTGAGCAGTAACTGAATCCCTACATCCTGGACCTAGTTCTCCTTTCTCCCCACAGTTTGGAGTTTGAGAATCAGAAGACTCGCTTGGGCATCCAGTTGGATTTTGAAAAGAACCAACTGAAAGAGGACCAGGATAAAGTACACATGTGGGAGCAGACAGTGAAAAAGGATGAAAATGAGATAGAAAAGCTCAAGAAGGTAAGGAAGGAGAGCATAAAAAGGCATACTAAAAACTGGGAGGAAAAATTGGAAGAGATATGATAGAAGGATAATATCCATAATTTAAAAAGCCCCATTGAAATAAGGAAACACCAAGACCTAAATAGGAAAAAAAAAATAAGAGGCACAAACAGTTCAAGATAATTCAAATAGCCTGTAAACACATACACATAATTTAGCCTTATTAGAAGTCAAAGAAATGCAAATTAAAGCAATAATCAGATGTAATTTGTTTCCTATCACCTTACCCAAGATTTAAAAAAAAAACAAAAAACCCAGATGATTAATACTGGCCATGGTGCACAAGACCAGCATTCTTATGCCATATGGCACCATCCATCAAGAGTCTTCAGGATATATTTATCTCCTCTTAGTCAGTAATACCTGAGGAAATCCAAAATGCTGGCACAGCTTCATGCACGGAGGTTGATGTTTATTACAAACATTTATTGTTCCATATTGGAAACTGTCCAGTGTCCTCTGGGAATTAAGAGTTTAGCAAATTATGCTACGTTCATATATGTATTTGCGTAGTTTAATGGTCTTCAAATTTTAGTAATACACAGACCCCATTTAAAGACCTAAGATATTTTTAAAAATATTCTTGATGTTAAATACATACAAACATACATACTTAGAGCTCTTCACCAAAAAGCCAGGACAGACTTATAAATTAATTTTTATAATTAACCACATTAATTTAGCGCAACAGATGATGGTGTTTTGCTGAAACCTAGTCCCTCTTCATTTTGCACCAGTGCTGCTGATGGCCACGGCTCAGTCTGAGTCGAGCTTGCCTGAGTCACTGGGTATTGTCTGACGACTCACTTTTCCTACATTCTTTCTCTTTAAATTCCTGTGAAACCTTTGTTCTTCCTACAGCATCCCCTCCTGAGGTGATTTGATCCTCTTCACTTGGCTTAAACCTATCATTTGACTTTTATGTCTGCCTATGTTTGTTCTTGTTAGGAAGGTGTGTGTGTGTGTATGTGTGCGCATGCATGTGTGTGTTTTCATTAAACCCTGATAATCAGTCCTCTTTACTGTCACTGGAATCTTAAATGCAAATGCAGATCGGGCAGGAGTAAGTGGACAGCTAAATGATCCAGAATCCTGTTTCTATGACTTTTTGACTTTTTATTTTGAAATCATTTGAAACTTAGCAGAAAGTGGCAAGACTACTACAGAGAACTCCTGCCTACCTGCCACCAAGATTCACCAATCACTGACATGCCATATGTGCTTCTGCATTGTCTGTGTATGCATATTATTTTTATGAGCCATTTGGGAGGAAGTGGCAGATATGTCCCCTTTAAGTGACTTTAAGATCAAAATGAAAACCAAACGTTCTTCCTTTTAAAAAATCAGATCTATTAAGTAAGACTACAGTCCCCTTGACTGACCACTCTCAATGCCACTCCCTTTCCTCTTCCTGGAGCTAATCCCACGTAGTGGGTATTCTTCCAGACCTTATAGGCATTTAGTTAAATACTTGTACATTCACGTCAGTGTACTCATAGAAAATACATAGTATTGTTTGTGTGTGTTTTTTTTAAACATTGATGTTATATTGCCTGTGACAGTAATTTTAATGTGGAAAAGGTGCTCAAATATAACATTAAGTCAGAATATAGAGTTTTAATTGCAATCTAGTCTCAACTCTGTAGAGTCCGTCTGTAAGTAGTGTTAGGAGGAAATAGGCTAAATTGTTAATTGGTTGTCTCTGGCTGGTGGGATTACGAGTGATTTTTTTTTTTCTACTTGATACTGTTTCAATTCTTTGTACTTTTCTATATCAGGCAACTTGTATAATGGGGTGTGGGGGGAGGGCAACCAAATTTGAAAAAAGATAAAGAGACACCTAAAGGGTGATGGTGGTATGTGAAAGCAGAGCTTCCTGAAGAGAGGCTCTGACATGCCTTGGAGGCTCCTTCTGCTTGGTGGAGAGGGTAGTGGGCAAGGGGAGAAGATCTTAGAGGAGATGAGGAAAACGTTCACTTCTTGTCCTGTTCCCCCTGCTGGGACCAGGAGGAGCAAAGACACATGAAGATCATAGATGAGACCATGGCCCAGTTACAAGACCTGAAGAATCAGCACCTGGCCAAGAAGTCGGAGGTGAATGACAAGAATCATGAGATGGAGGAGATTCGTAAGAAACTGGGGGGCGCCAACAAGTGAGTGGGTTCAGGCCTGGGGTTGGGGGACCTAGGTAGAGCAGGCAGCCTGCTGGACTTGGATCTCACCTCTCTACCTGGACCTTTTAGGGAAATGACCCATTTACAGAAGGAAGTAACAGCCATTGAGACCAAGCTGGAACAGAAACGCAGTGACCGCCACAATTTGCTGCAGGCTTGCAAGATGCAGGATATCAAGTTGCCGCTGTCTAAGGGCACCATGGACGACATTAGTCAGGAAGAGGTGAGTATCAGATCACGGCTGGTGGTGGGACTGGGCAATGAACAGCATTAACCAGGGATAGGGGATGAAAGTGACTCGGGGCGGCGGGGGGAGAAGGGGGAGAGGGAAAAGGATGGTGGGCAGGGGTGGTGGAGGACAGAAGGAGGGATGCAGGGGAGATGAGGCAGGGTGAGGCTGTGAAGGCAGGTAGGGGAAAGGTAGTAGCCTTGGTATGAAAGGGAAGTTGAGTTGGGGGTGGTGCTGGATGTAAGTAGGTGGTGAGGGAGGGAAGCCAGGAAAAGATGAAATCATTCTGTAACCTTAGGGACTTGAGCTAAAAGCTCTAGCAGGTGTTGGATATTGCTAAGAGTGGCAATTGAGGGACATTAGCCAAGAGCAAAGGAAGATGGAAGATGGGGGACCTGAGAGATGATGGCCGAGCTGCAGTGAGGGAGGTTGGCCAGGAGAGGGTTGGGTAAGGGACATCAGCAATGCAGAGGTGACAAGGCTTAGTCATAGGAAAGGGAGGGACACTAGCCAATAGAGGAGCCAAGGCATTTTATGCACTGAAGGTGAAGATTGGTAGCAAGGGGTGGGAACATTAACTGAGAGGAGCTTTGCATAGATCTGTCTTAGACCTGGGCATGTATCTCAGCCCCACATGTCTCTCTCCCTCCCTCCTCCCAAATAGCGTTTCAGTTTAATTCAGCAAAATATTTTGAACACCAGAAATGTGCCAGGCGCTATGGTAACATGTGACATAATTACTCCTAATCCTAAACCCAACCCTGCCAGGCAGGCAGTATCCCATGTTACAGTTGAGGGTTTGTTTCAGTCAGGTTTCCGGTGTCAGGATCTGAGCCATGACTTGCCCAGGATGACAGTGTTAGTCAGTGGTAGAGCCCAAGTTTGAACTGAGGTCTTTGTGCCTTCAGAGATGCTGTCCTGCCACAGGTGCTCCAGCAAGGTGCTTCGAAAAGACTTTGAAGGCTACAAAGGAGCACGCCCCCCCCCCCCCGGCCCCCTTTAGAGGGGCATTCTATGGCCAGTGTGCTCCATTGGACTCTCCCTCTCACCATTGCAGGGTAGCTCCCAGGGGGAGGATTCAGTGAGTGGTTCCCAGCGAACTTCCAGCATCTATGCACGAGAGGCCCTGATCGAGATTGACTACGGTGACCTGTGTGAAGACCTGAAGGTGAGGATCAGCCACGGGGGCGGCGACATCCTCCCAGCTGTTCAAAGGGAGAGTCAGCCCACCCGGGGGCCCCATGGAGACCACAGCTAAAAAGAGGGGCAGGCTGGCGAGGAAGGGAAGGAGCTGTGATTTAGGGGAACAGATACAGGCGCATCTTCCACCACCACCCTCAGTTGCCCCCGTCCCTGCCTGCTGCCAGTCTTCCCCTTCCACGCATGTACACTTCTCAGCCCAGGTGCACACACAAAGGACATGCTCCTTTACAGCGAGCAGATGGGCCTTGGGTGTCCTCGGCGCTCTGTCCCTGGTGCCCTTCCCTTCTCACTTTTGGCATTCTCTCTCGCATCCTGGGTATCTGTTTTACCCCCTTGGCCCCAGCTGCCATGTGTGCTATGCTCCACAGGTACCTCAGCCCCCAGCCTTCCCCAAATCTGCTCTTTCTCCTCGGTGCCAGCCACAGGTTCAAACCAGAAATCTGTGCCTCATCCTCGACTCCTCCTCTCACTTTGCATATTCATTGAATTACCAAGCCCTATCCGTTTTACCTCCTAAATATCTATTGAGTTCTACTTTTTTTCTGTTTCCACTGTCTCTCAAGTACAGGCCATTTCACCTGTCACATGGCCTACTGCAGGAACCTCCTAAACACTTCCTGATGCTTTCCCATCCATCCTTATGGCCAGGGGGACATGATTTTTTAAAGAAATCTTTATTGTGGAAAATTTCAAACATACACAGAAGTAGAATAATATAATGAACCCCAGTACCCATCACCCAGCTTCAACAGTTAGCAACATATGGTATCTTGTTTTCTATACCCCTCCCTTTCCAATTGGCATATTTTAAATCAAATTCCAGGTAACATTTCATTCATAATTATATCTCTAGAAAGAAGGACATTTTAAAAAACATAACAGTATCATACCAAAAAAAAATGAAGACTAACTGCAATATCATTTAATCAGTAAATGTTTGGATTTGCACGAATATCCCATAAATACCATTCTTTTTAAAAAAAAAAAGCATAGTCTGTATTTAAATCAGGATTCAAAGGAGGTTCATATGTTAAAAGTGGTCTCTAGTCTGTACCATTTTCTTATCCCTTTTTATTTTTTTATACCTGTTTATAGAAGAAATTGGGTCATTGGTCATGTACAATTTTCTACATTCTGAATTTGGCTTGATTATGTCCTATGATGTTATTTAACGTGTTCTTCCATTCCCTGTATTTCCTGTAAACTGGTACTTAAATCTAGGGTTTGATTGGATTTGGTTCATTTTTTGTTTATTTTTGGCAGGAATATATCAGGTGGTGCTGTCTACTTGTGAACTTTCTTTTGCGTCGCATAAGTTGACATGGAATGTCATTTTGATCTTTGTACTAAGTTTGGTCAGTGTTCAACATTACCTGTGAAATATTCTTGTCAAAAACTCCCACAAGGATCTGATCAAGCTTTTATGGCCACCAATTATATGAAACACCAGTGCCAGAGAACGTGTTAAATAAAAACACAGGGATGCAGTTAGCTAAATCCAGACTGTGGGAAACTATGGGCCTGGTCTCTTCCACTGATAAATGAAAGAAACCAAACAGAGGGAAAATTTTTATTGGCTATGAGAGACAAATCAACCAGCGGGAATATGTGGCATTTCTGTGAATCCATTGCAGAGAGGAAGGGGAATTTAGCTATTAAATGAGATTTAAGAGACAGATCAGCTAATTGCGATGTGTGTACCTTATTTGAAACCTGCTTTGAAAAACCTGTGAAGAATTTTTTTTTTTTAACAAAACAATCAGGATAATTTGAACACTGACCAAAGAATTTATGATGTTCAGAAATTGCTGTTACTATTTTTAGGTGAGATGATGGTATTGTGGCTTTATTTTTTAAGTAGCCTTATCTTTTATAGCAGTGGTTCTCAATGGTGCATGGGTTTTGCCTCCCCAGGGGACTTTTGGTAATGTCCGGAGACACTTGCAGCATCCACTTGTCATAATTGGTTACTGACGGTGTCTTGTAGGTAGATGCAAGGGATGCTGCAAAACATCTTACAGTGCACAAAGGACAGCCCTCACAACAATGAGTCATCTGGTCCAAAATGTCAATAGTGCTGAGATTCAGAAACCATTTTAGAGATATACTGAAGTATTTGTGGATGAAGTGGTATGTCTGAGATTTGCTTTAGAATAATTGAAGATAGAAAGGAATTGAGTATAGATGGCAGAGTATTGGCCATGAGTTGATAATTTTTGAACCTGGGTTATAAGTACATGGGGGTGCATTATATTACTCTTTGCATTTTTGTGTCTGTTGAAAATTTACATAATACAAAGTTAAGAGAAAAATAATCCTGATCAACAGGTTCAGGTATTGTTAGCCCGTCAATTTTTATAAAGTTCCCTGTCAGCCTTTCACAAGTTGGTTTTAGTAGCTTTTTTTTTTTTTTAAAGATTTTATTTTTATTTATTTATTTGAGAGAGAGTGTGCATGCGTGAGCTGGGGGTGGGGGTCAGTGGGACAGGGAGAGAAGAGAATCCCAAGCAGACTCCCCACTGAGCACAGAGCCCAATGTCGGGCTCGAGCTCAGGACCATGAGATCTTGACCTGAGCTGAAATCAAGAGTCGGGTGCTTAACTGACTGAGCCACCCAGGCGCCCCGGTTTTAGCAGCTCTTAATGATCATTGCCCAGCTTTATCAAGGGTTGCAAAATGGTAATTTCCTAATTCTTCCTTTCCTCCTCCATTTATTTATTGGAATTCTAAAAAGAATTTTCCCATATCAACTATTTGGTTCCCTTGAAATACAGCCAGTACAGAAAAGGTAGGATAAATGCTTCATTCTTTTCCTTTATTTACTAGCTTTCGGAATGAGGCGGTTGCCCTTGTAACCTTTAAAGGTTTTTAATTTGTATTTAGTGTAAACTTAACTGTTTAAATGTATTTTGATGACTCTATTGGAGTCATTTTTCTTCTTGATGCCTCATATTGTCCCATCCTTGTCCAGTAGGAGCCACTTCAAGTTGATTTTTGTTGTTCTTATTTTTAGATTTTTATTGAAAATTTCACATGGCAAAAGTAAAATAGCACAGTGCTATCTTGTATAGCCATCACCAATTTCAGCAGTTAGGAACTCGTGGCCAAACTTGTTTTATGTGCACCCCATCCACTTCCTCCTCTCTCCCCACCCCTGGGTTATTTAAAAATATAGTCAACCCTTGAACAACATGGGTTTGAACTGTGCGGGTCCACTTATACATAGATTTCCTTCAGTAAATATAGTACAGTACTGTAAATGGATTTTCTTAACATTTTCTTTTCTCTAGCTTACTTTACAATATGTGTTAATCACTGTTTATGTTACTGGTAATGATTCCAGTCAACAGTAGGCTATTAGTAATTACGTTTTAGGGGAGTCACAAGTTAATATATAAGTGGATTTTTGGCTGTGTGGGGGGGCTGATGCCCCAACCCCCTTGTTCAAGGGTCAGCTGCAAATTCTGGACATCATGGCATTTTACTTGTAAATATTTCAGAATGTATCTCTAAAAGATAATTTTTTAAAATATCTAGAATCGTTATACCAAAAACCCAATAATTTCTTAATTTTGGAGCTATATATTATAAAATAATTCCTTAGTATTATAATTAGTATTCATATTTCCCTGATTGTCATGCGCACACACACAGTGTACACACACACACACACACACACACATCCATTCATCTGTTGATGGACGTCTGGGCTCTTTCCATAGTTTTTCCAGCTATTGTGGACATTGCTGCTATATACATTGGGGTGCAGGTGCCCCTTTGGATCATTGTATTTGTATCTTCGGGGTAAATACTGAGTAGTGCAATTGCTGGGTCGTAGGGTAGCTCTATTTTCAACTTTTGGAGGAACCTCCATACTGTTTTTCAGAGTGGCTGCACCAACTTGCATTCCCACAGTGTAGGAGGGTTCCCCTTTCTCCACATCCTCACCAACATCTGTTGTTTCCTGACTTGCTAATTTTAGCCATTCTGACTGGTGTGAGGTGGTTGGTTGATATGACTCTTAAGTCTCATTTAATCTATGGTAGTCCCCCCTTGTCTCTGCCTTCGCTTTCCATGGTTTCAGTTACCCGTGGTCAACCACAGTCTGGAAGCAGATGATCCTCCTTCTGACCTATCATCAGAAGGTCAGTAGTAGCCTACCTGGTGCTGTGTCACAGTGCCTATGTCATTCATCTTACTTCATCTCATCGTGTAGGCTTTTTTTTTTTTTTTAAGATTTTATTTGTTTATTTGACAGAGAGAGACATAGAGAGGGAACATAAGCAGGGGGAGTGGGAGAGGGAGAAGCAGGCTTCCCGCCGAGCAGGGAGCCCGATGCGGGGCTCGATCCCAGGACCCTGGGACCATGACCTGAGCCGAAGGCAGACACTTAACGACTGAGCCACCCAGGCGCCCCTATGTAGGCATTTTTTATTATCTCACATCATCCCAAGAAGACGGATGAGTGCAATACAGTAAGATAGTTTGAGAGTGAGACCATTCATGTAACTTATAATACAGTATATTGTTATAATTGTTCTATTGTATTATTGCTGTTAATGTTTTACGGTGCCTACTTTGTAAATTAAGCTTTATTGTAGGTATGTATGTATAGGAAAAAACACAGTATGTAGGCTTTGGCACTGTCCATGGTTTTAGACATCCACCGGGGGTCTTAGAATGTACCCCCGTAGATAAGGGGGACTACTGTATAAGATGCCCCTCCATCAGTTTTTTTCTTTGCAGAATTTTTTGTTTTTGAAGAAATTGGCTCATTTCTCCTGAAGGATTTTCCACATTCTGTACTTTGTTGATTGTATCCTATGATTTTTTTAAAAGATTATTTAAGAGAGAGTGTGTGCATGCTCTTGAGCAGGGGGAGGGACAGATGGGGAGGGAGAGGGACAGGCAGACTCGGTGCTGAGTGCAGAACCCGATGTGGGGCTCGATCCCATGACCCTGACTGTGACCTGAGCTGAAACCAAGAGTCAGATGCTCAACCAACTGAGCCACCCAGGAGCCCCTGTATCCTATGATTTGTCTTGATGTTCCCCGAGAACAAAGCACAAAAATAGTTCTGGTGTCCCCTGTAGTTCTTCCTATAAGTGGGTAGTTAGATCAGTGCTGTTAAATAGGGATATAATATGACCTACATGTCATATTTTAAAAAGTAAAATTAATTTTGATGCTGTATTTTTGCTTAGCCCAGTATATCCAAAAATTATTTCAGTGTGTAAACACATAAAAATTATCGATGGGGTATTTGACAGTCTTCTTTGTACTAAGTCTTGAAAATACAGTATCTATTTATGCTTCTGGCACATCTCAATTTGGATGCTATATTTTCCTCAGATATATTTGATCTGTATTTAGCTATCTTAAACTTTACAATAGAAAAAAAGAACCACATACCCATGTTTGTTCCAGATACACTTAAAAGTTTTCTAGTAACTGAGTATCTGTTTTTAAATGAGTCAACAGTCATTAAAATCAGTAGTCACATGTGGGCTTATGGCTACCGTATTGGACAGCTCAGATCTAGAGGTTTGATTAGATTCAAGTTTGGGGGTTTGTTTTGGTCAAGAATACCTCATAAGTGACGTTGTTAACATCCATCAGGAGGTTCATAATGTCTGGTTGTGGTTCTTTTTGTGTGATTTGCAGCTGTGGTGGTTATTGCCTAGATTGATTAATTTGTTTGTGGTTGCAAAATGGTGATCTTCTTACCCTATCATTTCTTTATTAACTGGAATACTGTAAAGAGAGATTTCCTCTTATCAGTCATTTGGTTACCCTGAGATGCAGTTTATGTAGGAAAGGTGGATATATATGCGCTTGATTCTTTTATTTACTAGTTTATAAAATAATGAGCCAGTTTTCTGACATTCTCAAGATTTGTTCACTGAGTTGTTTTCTTATCATTTTGAACTTACGGATTTAAACACGTGAGATATGTTGCACTCTGTTGTGGTTATTATTCTTGTTGATCAAGTTGTTGTATCTTTGGCCGGTGGGAACCCATTCAGGTTGGCTTCTGAATCATTTTGACACAACTCTACAGTCTTTTATGTCTTCCCTGCTTGGTATGTCCAGTCTCATCCTTTACATTTCCCAAAATCTGGCATACCCCATTTCTCTCTGAGGAGCACTGACTTCTTGTAGTGGGAAATGCTGTTTAACAACTACCATCTGAACACCGGAGTGCTCATGACTACTGGGTTGCTCAGTGCTTCTAGAATATTTCAGTATACGGGGCTACAAGATGCATTTTTTATTTTGAGGGAAAAATGTATCATGAGTTCATATTGATACTTCAATTGAAATTGTAATTTTCCCAGTTTAACGTCATTGATTTTATGTTTGAGTCTCCCCAGTTATTCTTGCTGAAAATCTTGGTTCCTAGCAACACTAATGTAATAACATTTACTTTATCCTATTCTGTATATAATAGTTTGAAAATCACAATGAGGTATTATTAGTAACAACTTGATTATTGAAGATTTCCTTGAGGTCCTTTTTGCCGTTAAGCTAATAGCTTATTGGGCATGTACAGCCATGTTCCTATATTCTTAAAGTAATTTGAAAGAATTCTCTGAATGTTGGGCGCCTGGGTGGCTCAGTCGTTAAGCATCTGCCTTCGGCTCAGGTCAGGATCCCAGGGTCCTGGGATTGAGCCCCACATGGGGCTCCCCGCTCAGCGAGAAGCTTGCTTCTCCCTCCCCCACTCCCCCTGCTTGTGTTCCCTCTCTCGCTGTCTCTTTCTGTCAAATAAATAAATAAAATCTTAAAAAAAAAAATTCTCTAAATGTTTAACCAGCTTAATATATTGTCATGTTTCTTTATTTAGTTTTCCATTTTAAGGGGGTTGCTCATTTTTGCATTTTAAAGATTTATTTTTTCCAACTTTATTTTGAAAATTTTCAAACCTACAGAAAAATTGTAAGTACAGTACAGTGAACACCCATATACCTTTCACTGTAGAATATTTTTCTACAATGATTATTTTTCCAGTTTTTTTCTCGCTCTCCATCTTACTTGATTCCCTCCCTCCACACTACCTAGTTGTTTTTTTTTTTTTAAGATTTTATTTATTTAGAGATAGAGAGCATGAGAGGGAAGAGGGACAGGGAGAAGCAGACTCCCTGCTGAGCAGGGAGCCCGATGTGGGGCTTGATCCTGGGACCCCAGGATCATGACCTGAGCTGAAGGCAGTCGCTTAACCAACTGAGCCACCCAGGCGCCCCCACGTTTTTTGTTTTTGCTGAACCATTTGAAGGAAGTTACAGACTTCAACTCTAAATACTTCAGCATGCTAAGGGATTCTGTTCCATAACTGCAATTCCATATTACACCTAAGAAAATAATAATTTCATATCTAATATCACCCATATTCACATTTCCTTAGTTGTTCCAAAGTGTTTTTTATAATTGTTTGTTTTAAACTGTAATCCAATCAAGGTTTATGTATTGCTTTTGGGTGTTCTATCTTTTTAGTTTCTTTTAATGTGGAGCAGTCCCCTCACCTTTTTTCATGACACTGATCTTTTGAAGAGTCTATGTGTTGTCTTGAATGGATATGTTTGGGTTTTTTTTAAGATTTTATTTATTTATTCATGAGAGACAGAGAGAGAGAGGCAGAGGGAGAAACAGGCTCCCAAGGAGCAGGGAGCCTGATGTGGGACTCGATCCCAGGACCCTGGGATCATGACCTGAGCTGAAGACAGACGCTTAACCATCTGAGCCACCCAAGCGCCCTTGAATGGATGTGTTTGTTTCCTATCATTATTGCTTAATTTGTTCCACCTACCCTTGTGTTTCCTATAAATTGGAAGTTTGATCTCGTCTGGAGGCTTGATGGATTTGGGTTAAGTAGTTTTTTGGCCAGAACATTTCACTGGTGATGCTGTGTACTCTATATTGCATCTTGCCAGGAGGTATGTAATGTGAGGATGTGAGGATTCATGATGTTAAGTTTGATCCTCTGTTAAGGTATCAATTGCCAGATTTCTTACCTTTGTAAGTAGTAAGTAATCTTTAGGGGGATTCTTTGGTATCTTGTGAATATCTTGTTCCCAACAGTTTTTTGGCCCTGTGGTTTTCACATTTTGATTTAATTTTTTTTGGTAATTCTGTAAAATCTTCATATGGTTCTAAAACCAGAAGTATACTTACAGGTACATGAAGAGAAGTTTCACCTTCTTTCTTGTCCCCTTCGCCTCCATTCCTCTGTGTGTAATCATTTTAATTAGTTTTTGGAATTATTCTTTTTTTGTTTTATGTTAAAATACGAATATATTTGTATTTAAATATACTCATATTCCCAAAATTGGCATTCTATTGTGTACCTTGCATATTTCACTTAAAAGTGAAATATCCAAGAGACCTCTTCATAACAGTATATAGAGATTTGTAGAAGGGCTTTTCTAAAATATATATATATTTATGTATACATTTGTGCATATTCATGTCCTTCCTGTGCTTGAAGTCATTCAGTGGTACCTCACCTCCCTTGGGATAAAGTCCAAACCTCTTTAAGACTTAAAAGGCCCTTTATCATTGGGCTTCTGTACGTCTCCAGCCTTGCCTTTTCCCCCCAGCGTGCATGCATGTGCGCGCGCGCACACACACACACACACACACACACACAGTTGCTATTATTGCCATACTGAATTGCCCTTTTTTTTGGCTTTTGAAATTTATTAAAATTGATTACTTTTTTGTTTTGTTTTAAGATTTTATTTATTTGACAGAGACACAGCAAGAGAGGGAACACAAGCAGGGGGAGCAGGAGAGGGAGAAGCAGGCTTCCCGTGGAGCAGGGAGCCCGATGTGGGGCTTGATCCCAGGACACTAGGATCATGACCTGAGCTGAAGGCAGACGCTTAATGACTGAGCCACCCAGTCGCCCCCAAATTGATTACTTTTTTGAATTACTTTCATTTCCTTGAATGAACCATGAGCAGATCCTTGATTTTGCATGTGATGCTCCTGTCTGCGTAGACTGTTCCTTCTCCCTGTCCTCACTATTCATCCTGTGGGCCTGAGCTTAAACATATTCCTGGAGGCCTTCCCTAGCCCGAGTCTGAGTTAGGTGTCCTTCTTATGTGCTGACCCAACACCATCTGTTTATCATTGTTTTGGTGTTCACTGTACAGTGTTCTGATTGTTTACATATATGCCTTCCTCTGTTAGTCCATGAGCTCTGTAAGCACAGGAACCATGGCTCACAGGATATGAGGGCCCCAGTGCCTGGCATTTGGAAGGCATTCCGTAAATATTTATTGACTAAAAGTGGCAGAAAGGCACAAGCCCAGACATGCATTGCAATATCCATAAGACCTAAAACCAAACTCAAATGGAATTTGCTCAGATGTGGTGATCTGAGAAGAAAACGTGAGTTGCGTTATTCATTGTGGAGCTGTAGTCAGACCAGCCTGTGTGGGAGCCTCTAGGTCACCCTGGGATGGTGCTGGCTCATGGCCTGGGCTGAGAGCCAGAGAGGGGCACCACCAGCTGCTCCTCCTGAGAGACAGAGAGGTTGACAGGACCTGGGGGAAGGGCTAGAGATCAGAAAGTGGCATCAGCCTGTAATTTCCAGGGATGGTGGGAATGGTTACTGTAGGTAGGACCTGGTAGAAGGAGCCGAGCTAGGGAAGAAGAACCTGCCTTTGGCATGGGAGCAAGTCCTCAGGCCCTGCTTGGTGGAGCATCTCTTGTGGGGGCCTGAGCTCAGGGACCTGGCCCTTCCTGATGTCGTTGGGCCTGGGTTTTACAGGATGCCCAGGCTGAGGAGGAGATCAAACAGGAGATGAATACACTGCAGCAGAAGCTGAATGAGCAGCAAAGTGTACTCCAGCGTATTGCTGCCCCTAACATGAAAGCCATGGAGAAGCTGGAGAGTGTCCGAGACAAGTTCCAGGAGACCTCAGATGGTAAGATTTTTCCCTTTTACTTTTACTGTCTAAGGGGAAGACAGAAGGCTGGAGTTACGGCAGGGGGCTGTTACACATCACAGCAGCTCCCATTTTTATGTGCTTTCTGGAAACTCCCAAGAGCCCTGAACAGTAGGGGTTAGTTATCACACCTGGTTTATGGAGTAGAAAAACCTCTCTGAGGTTCAGAGAGGGTGAATGGCCTACCCAAGGTCTCACAGCTGGCTGCTGGTTGAGCCCAGGGTAGAATTCATGTTTGTGTGGCTCCAAGCCCACGTTTCTTCCTTTGTGCTATGTGGCTGGCCTGATGGTTACAAGTGGTTGTGGGGCCATTTTCCTGGGGCCCTCCCCAGACATTCCTCTCCCTTTGGGATGTCCCTGCCCTGTGGATTGTCATTTACAGGTCATTCTTGCCAGGGCGTGGTCCTCTGCCTTGGCAGAGCCTGGGCACTGAGGGTTCACCCGTCTTTCCCTCATGGCAGAGTTTGAGGCAGCCCGAAAGCGAGCCAAGAAAGCCAAGCAGGCATTCGAACAGATCAAGAAGGAGCGCTTTGACCGCTTCAATGCTTGCTTTGAATCTGTGGCCACCAACATCGATGAGATCTACAAGGCCCTATCCCGCAACAGCAGTGCCCAGGTAGGCTGGAGTCCCTTACCCAGCTAGCCCCCACCATCACATTGCCCTTCCCTTTAGCCTCCCTGTCCCTGTCCTCATCTAGACCCAAACCCAGATTCTGACCCATCTGCCTTCTCCCTAGGCATTCCTGGGCCCCGAGAACCCTGAGGAGCCCTACCTGGACGGCATCAACTACAACTGTGTGGCTCCTGGCAAACGCTTCCGGCCTATGGACAACTTGTCAGGGGGGGAGAAAACAGTGGCAGCTCTGGCCTTGCTCTTTGCCATCCACAGGTAAGGCTGCTCCTCCCAGAGCAGTTGACGGAGAGACTGAACTGAGGCTGCCAGAGGCTCTGGGGCCCAAGGACATGCAGAGATCTGCAGAGGTGAAGATGTTCTGGTGGAATCTGGATTGCGTCCCTGTTTCCCTACCTACTACAGCACATCTGGCCTTGGTTTCCTGGACTTGTCTTTCCCATCCACCCTCATCCACTCAGCATGCCCTCACTGGCCCCTGCATGTATTCAGTCCCACCACCAGGCTTTTGCTTACATGGTTGCTGGCTAATTAGCCCTTTCTGTGTAAATCTAGCTTGACCATCACCACACCTTCACATCTCATTTTCCTCCTCCTGTTCCCCTAGGAAGCCTGCTTTGACCAGCTGTGGCATACCCTGACCTCCCCCTCCTGAATGCCAGTAGTACTTGAATCTGACCCCCACAACTTAATACTTGATTGTACAGTGTCATTCAGCGAGCATTTCTTGAGGGCTGCTCTGTACCAGACTCTGTTGGGGGATTAGGGACACAGATGTGTCAGACATGGTCTCTGTCCTTGAGGAGCTCATGGTCTAGTGAAAGCCAGATGTGTAAACAGTGAGCTAAGTGTTGTAACCGGGTGAGTGTGTGTGCTGTGGATGCACAGAGGAGGGACACCAACCCAATGTGGGGGAGGGTGTGGGTGGCCAGGAAAGGCTTTCAAGGGCAGGTAATACTTGAGCAGGAAATGCAAAGGATGAGCAGAAGTTAGCCGAGACACCAGGAGGCGTTCTAGGCAGTGGGTGCCGCATGTGCCGAGAGGCAGGGAGCCACAACAGCATGGCGCAGGTGGGTGGGGTAGACCTCCAGGTAGCTTGGACAGTGTGGTCAGAGTCTAGGACAGCTTTATCTCCCCAGCTGGTCTGGAAGCTCTGGAGAGAACCATGTCTTCTGGTTCTGTAGGATCCTGGAGCACAAGGTTGGATGCACAGGAGGGTTCAGTTGGTAAACTGGCCTTCCGGGGCTCAGGCAACGTTAAGACCTGGGTTTTTTAGTCTCTGAAGAAGTGGAGGGGGATGCTGGCCTTGTGTGATGGGCCCTGGGGCTATCCTGCCCCACCCCTGCCCCCATCAGTGTCAGCTCACCTACTGGTTCCCTCCCAGCTACAAGCCAGCCCCCTTCTTCGTCCTGGATGAGATCGATGCTGCCCTGGATAACACCAACATTGGCAAGGTGGGTGCAAGGAAAGTGGGGCCCGGGAGGGAGGCCCCTAGGTTGGGGCTGGGTTTCAGGGAGCAACTCCTGAGTGTGCTCTAGCCGTTCCTGCTGCCTGCTCTCTGTGCCCGGGAGGCTGGGCCCAGGGTCATCCATCCACGCCGTGCTAGTCAGTGGCCTCTCAGCCTCTCTTCCCCTTACCCTCCACCCCTTACCCCATCCCTCTGCCTCTGGTTCTGACTGGAAACACAAGGGAGTGTTAGGGCTTCAGCCCTGCTAAGTGCCTGGCGGCCCCTCCCACAGGTGGCAAATTACATCAAGGAGCAGTCGACTTGCAACTTCCAGGCCATCGTCATCTCTCTCAAGGAGGAGTTCTACACCAAGGCTGAGAGCCTCATTGGAGTCTACCCCGAGGTAGGGCGGGCCTGGCTCAGGAGCCAGCCCCACTCTCCCTGCCTGACTCCCCAGGGCAGGAAGGGAAGGCTGCAGTGGAGGGCCACGGGGGCGGGGGAGCATAGGGACTCAGGTCCTGAACAGCCATCTGGGCTTGTTGGAGCCCTGCCCTAGAGGCTTAGCCTGCCCAGCTGGGCAGGGCTATTGCGTCTGGGGACAGGTGGAAAGGCCAGGCAGAAGAGCCAGACAGCAGAGAAAAGGAGGAGAATGCAGAGGTAGGCAGGGAGAGAAGGCACATGGGACCGAGCACATCCTCTCACACCCAGAGAGAACCATTGCCTGGGCTTTGGGCAGGTATGTAGGGAGGAGGGTTTGAGGCCCCCGGTCCTGGGGCGCTAGACCCCCCGCCTTAATTCTCTCCTTACAATTTCATTTTTCTTTTTCTCCCTCCTCCTTCAGCAAGGGGACTGTGTGATCAGCAAAGTCCTGACCTTCGACCTCACCAAGTACCCAGATGCCAACCCCAACCCCAATGAGCAGTAGCAGTAGTTCTGCCCTCCTGCCCTGTCTGGATCCCTAAGCTGCCCCTCTCCCAATCTCTGGATATTTGGCTCCCAACCTTCCCCTACCTCCCGTCCCTGTTTGGTATAGTCATGGGATTTAGGCACTGCTGTCAAGCATGAAGAGGAACAGAGGTGATGTTAGGTCTGGAGCAAAAATTCCTGAGCTTCAGGGAGCATCCTGGCCTTTGGAAGGAGGTGCTGAGCTGAACTGAGCTGAACAGGGCCATCTGTCCATTCCCTACCTTCCCCTCTCCCAGACCTCCCCCCCTCCCATCACCCATAATCATGGGTCCCTTGGGCCCCTTGCATCTTGCTTGTGTGTGGGTGTGTATGTGTGTATATATGTGTCCGCGTGTGTGCATATGGGCGTGCTTGCAAAATAATAAAGATATTGGAGACCCATTTTAGAAGGAGCCTAGGCTGAATTTGATTCCAAGAGAGCTTAGTATGACAGCACCCCAGAGCTGGGCAAAGGTATTCAGGACCTCATAGGAATCAGTCACATGAAGTTGCCCTCATTTACTCATTTGTGTTCTCATTCATTTGTGTATTCGTCAGACATATATTGAGCACCTTCTATTTGTCAGGCTCTATTCTAGAAATACAGAGCTAAATCAGATATGATCTCTACCCTCCTATTGAGGAGATGCAGTGGGTTCATGGTTTCCCACGGTCAGCTGAATCATATTTATAGGTACTTTGAGAAGAAGATGATCACCTCCAGGCTTCCTGGAGGTCACATTTGAGCTGAACCTTGACAAATTGGTAGGATTTGGTTGGGCACTAGGAGCAGAGCCTGGGCTCTGGGGACAGACATTTGTGGGTTCTAGTCCTTTTTTTAAAATCACTTACTGGTTTGATGTTGGGCAAGTCATTTGACCTTTCTGTGCCTCAGTTTCCTCATCTGTAAAATGGGGCTAACAATATTACCTACCTCATAGGATTTAATGATGTCAAGCTCCTCACTGGGGGCCTTATCCCTGCTTGGAGCCCACTAGGTGCCGACCCCTCAGAATATAAGCCTTCTCATACCTAGACCCCTGAGGGCTCTAATCCCAATTGTTGGGGACAGAAGGAACCTCCAAATATGGGAGATGCTAAATGCCTTGGTTACTGAGAAAGTTCCAGGGCACCAATGGGGTTTACCCGGTAAGTGAAGGGCCTAATGAAGCCTATAGCTTCAGTCATGTAACCAGGTGCCTGGGCCCCAACCCAGGTCATGAGGAAGTCGGGGAGAGGTAGCCTGGACCACATCCCGGCCGAATGTGTGTGAAGTTCCCTCTGGGAACTAACCCGTGTCAGCTGCAGGGACCGTGCAGAGGCAGCAGAGTCTGCTGCCATGAGGTCAGCCTTTGCTCATTCACATACACTGTCAGACTGTCACCTTGTCCCGATTGTATACTGCATTCTTGTTTCTTCAAAGTTAAATCTGTTCTAATTACTCAAGTGACGCATGAATCCATTCTCTAAGACATTAGATTTATAAGTAGAGCTAGCCTTGACTACCATTGCCCCTCCCCCTCTAAACTGCTGTTATGTTTGTTGTACATCCATCTAGACTGTTCTAAGACTTTGACATATATGAGCTCATTGAAAATATTATTGTGTATTTAATACAAATGGTATATTGAGTTCTGCAATTTGCTTTCTTCGTTTAACAGTGTTTTTGAGATCTGTGCATGTTTTTGCTAAATGTAGATTCAATTCATCCTTTGTAATTGCCGTATGGAGTGCCATCATATGACTCGTATCACATCGTACCCTTTTCTTTTGTGATAGCTAGTTAAGACTGTTTTCTCTTTTTGCTATTACAAAATACGACACAGGAACATTTGTGTGTGTGTATGTGCCCGCGCGCGCACACATGCGCGCGCGCGTGTATATGAGTTTATCTAGGGTTGCTTCCTAGAAGTTGAATTGCAGAGTCATAGACTATTTATATTTTTGTTTTAAATAGATACTTCCAAATTGCCCTCCTGTACTATTTACTCGATATTTTTCTTGAGGTTGTCTTAGGTGTAACGTTGTTATCTACTTCAGTTTCATCCTAAGTAGTGATATCCGTGAAACCACGGGTTTGATGTGCTAATTATGTATTTTTCTAATACATATTAAAAGGCATAACTCAAAATAAATTTGTCTGTGTTCAACCAAAGAAGTCACATACCACCAGTGGTACATGTGCTGAAGTTTGGGAAATGCTGGCATATCTGAAAGCACAATTTGGGAGTCGCCCTGGTTCAAATCCTAGCTGTAGAAACTTGAGCTCATTACTTCACCTCCCTGAATCTCAGTTTCCTCACGTAGAAGAGGACTTAATATGTGCCCTACTTTGCAGCAATGTAGGGAAGATGAAGTGTGCTGGAAGCAGTTTGGCTGGCACCTAGATCATCATAGGCCTTTCAGGGTAGCAATCGCTATTCTCCCCACTTTACAGATGAGGAAACTGAGGCCCAGGAAGGTTAAGTGACCCAGCTACCAGGTAACAGTAAGGATTTGAACCCAGGCCCCCCCCGATTCAGTCTTGTGCTTTCTCCACTACAAGGGTGGTTATCAACCTTGGCTGTGCACCAGAATCACTTGTGAAGATTTTTCTTTTTTCCTTTTTAAAAATCAAAGCAATATATACACTGGTTAGGAAGTAAAATAGTACAGAAGGGCTTATAATGCAAAGCAGCTGTTCCCTGCTGCACCCCCACATCCAAAGGGTGTGGAGCTCCTTGCTCTGGTCCCGCCCCTGGAAATATAATTCAGTAGGTGTGGATAATAATCTGGATAACTAATTCTTACCTCACAGGGTGGAAAGGATTAGATGAGATGCCTTGGACTAAAGCCCTGGCCCACAGGGACGCCAAGTGCTGCAGAGGACTTAGGTCCTGGGGCTCAGAGAGGTGAGAGGCTTTGTCCTAGATCCCAGTGGTTCATTGGCAGAACCTAGACTTCAACCAGGAGGGATCTCTGTGCTTGCCCAGTGCTTTCCCACTGTGCCACACTGCCTTCTATCATCACAAAGGAACCACGTGCTCAGTGAAGGCTGTGCTCAGGTGCGAGCTGACGCCACAGTGTGTTTCCAGGAGTAAGCTGGATCCAAATAGAATCCCTAGGGCTTGTTGGAGGACACTAGGTTGACTCCCTTATACTCTGGACCCAGGAGCCTTGGTCTAGGGAGTTGAAGAGTGCTCCATGACCATGTTTACCTTTAACTGGGCACTTCACTCTGGGAATCACTGTGTTGCCCACCAGGGACGCAAACATGAGTCAAATCTTTACCCTGCCTTTGAGGAGCTCACTAGGGGAGGCAATTCATAGAACAGCTGTTAACCATGCAGTCTGATAGCCCTCTGACAGGAGCATGGAAGAGGAAGGGCCTGTAGCTTATGTAGAGGTTCAGGGAAGGCATCCTCTAGTCTAGGAGGTGACACCTGAGCTGAGTCTTGAGAGACTTGTAGGAATTACCCAGTTGAAATGGAAGGAATTTCCAGGTAGGACAGTATGCACAAAGACCTGAAGGCAAGAAACAGCAAAACAGTTCAGAAGTACCGAAACAAGGTTTGACAGTTCAGATTTATCTCATGAGACATTGTGGTTCCCACACTGGCTGTGCACCAGAACCACGTGTAGCATCCTGGGCCCCAGCCTCTCAAAATTTGGTTTTTGTAACTGGGGTGAGGCCTCAGGATCTTGAGTGCTTAGAAAAATGAGCACGTGACTGTAGGGTACAGCCAGGTTTGGGAACTGTGGGAGCCATGGGATGGTTTTAAGCAGGGGAGACGCTGGGTCAGATGCAAATTTGATAAGCCTCTTTCTGGTCAGCCACTGGAAATGGATTAGGTTAAATGTGCATACTGTATGCTCCCATGCCTGTAGTTTCCCTGTCGGCTCAATTTCTCCCACTGTGTGTTTGAATAAGCTGAACGCACCACAGGGATGGGCCTGGGGTTATCTCGCTACTGGCATATCCCCAGCAAAAAGCACAGTGCCTGACCCAAAACAGGCACCCAGTAAATAGTTTTTGAGTGAATGAATGCGTGAATGGATGCATTGGTGACGGAGAATGGAGACAGGGAGATCAGCTAGGAAGCTGTTGAAAAGCCCGGGAGGCCTACCCAGGGGCAAGGGCAGTGGGAAGGGATTGGAGGCAATAAAAGTGTGAGCCAGACTCGGTGATTGAGGCTTACTGGATGTGGAGGGTGACTGAGAGGATAGAATGAGTGCCCATTAGTAGCCCAGGCTCCTACCCTGTCCCAGTCATTCTCTCTCTTCATCCAGGTCGGAATCTCCTTCCAGCCTCAGCCACTGGAATTCCTCCCTCAAGTTAGTTTTTAAACGTTCTGTGTGCTGTGTGGTCCCCACCCTCCCCTCCCTTCCTCCCAGCCATTGATCCATTCATCCAGTTCAATAAATCTTGGCTAAGCACCTCCTGTATGCAGTGAGGCTCTTCCAAGCCAGGACTCTGACTCCCTCTTTCCTACCTCAAGAGATGTTTTTGAGGGCTTCCCCAGGTAAGACTCCCATCCCTTAGACAGTAACCTAAAGTGAGATGCCCAGATGTCAGACCTGTAAGGGAACTTACAGACTTTGTCCAACCCCCTCCTGAGGCCCTGGGAGGGGAAGGAACTTGCCCAAGGTCCCATTACTAGAAAGTGTCGGAGCCAGAACTGGAACCTGAGTTCCCTTGCCCCATCACCACTAGAGCCTTGATCTCTCCCATCACAGATCAGGACAGGCAGAAGTGGCCAGGGAGAAGGTGGGACTAAGGTTGGCCTTGAAGGTCAGTGTACTGGACAGGCCAAACAAGAAGCTTGCCAATTACACTGCCCCCTTCTGGAAACCCTCAGCAAACCTGCCATGCCCACAGTCCCTTCTAAGGGGTTTCTTAAGCACGAGTTGCCATGCTCTGTACCATGTGACCTCACAATCCTGGCCACAAATGGTTTGGGATAGTATGTGACTCAAGGACAGCCAATCTCTAGGCTATAGCCTATTAGGTGGACGGATATAAGAACTCCACCTCATAGGGATGGCCTGTATCAAATGGCCTCCAGGGAGGCTAAACGTGAGGCATTCGGAAGTGAACAATTAGCATTTAGCAAGACAGAAGTGGTGGTGGATGAGGGGTGCCAGAAGCTGAACAGCAAAAGCAAGGAGAAAGCTGCAGGGACCATGAAACATTTATATCATGAGAACACGGGGCCACAAGGTAGCAGAAGCCATGAAGCAGCAAGACAACAATGGGCCAAAAGGACACAGAAGCCATGAAGCAATAGGAGCCACAATGTAGCAGGAGCCACGAGGAACAGAAACCATGAGACAAAATCCTGAATGTGAGATCCACGAAGCAGCAGAAGGCTTGAACAGACAAGATCCACGAGGCAGCAGAAGCAGTGAGACTCTCAGAGCCACAAGGTAGCAAGGCAACAGGAATCGAAGAGGCTGCAGGAATGACAGCAAACAGAAGCTGCAACACAAGAGAAGCCCTGGATGAACTAGAACCGAAGCCCCAGAAGCCAGGAAGCTGCAGGAGCCAGGAGGCCAAGAAGCCATGAGGCCCCCGAAGGCCAAGTGCTAGCGAGGAGGGTAGCAGGAAAAAAAAGAAAGGTAGTCTAAGTAGCAGTAGGAGGAGTATAAATACAGCCAGAAAGAAGTTGAGTCACCATTTTGGGAAGCACTAGAGAAGGGAGCAACAGATGCCTGCAGCTGAGGGGGTGACAAGATAAGCCAGACTCTAGAGCTGCTTTGGATCATGAACCATTTTTGAGTTTCTGTTCCTCCATGAGGCTGCCTGTGTAGCTGTTTTTGTCTTCCTTATTTCCCTATGAATGCTTCAATAAATCTCCATCACTAACCTGAGTGTGTCTGTTCTTGTAATCTAAAAGAAGTTAACACTGTGGTGTGCACTATAGATGGGTGGAAAGCAGGGCAGAAGGTCTTCCAGGTGGGTTTCAAACAAGACACAGGTGGGAATTCACTCATTCTTTCTCACATCCTCACTGGCACAGCACTTCTCATTCATTTACGTACTGGCTTCTTTTTCTCATTCATTCCTCCACTCATCGTCCATTTGTTCACCTATTTATGGAGAACTCACTCATTTTCACATATTAACTCCTGCACTCAGGCAGTGATATAAGCATTCACTCATTTGTTAGCTCATTTGTTCTTTCTCGGATCCGCTCAGTCATCACTTTTGCACCCGTTTGGTCCACAAGCATACATTGAGTTCCTGCATCATGCTAGGTTCTGGGGATGAGATATACTCCCCGAGTTCTAGGAATTCATAGTTTAATTGGGGACGCAGATAAGTAAGCAGGTGAGTGCACCAAAGGCGAGAGATTATACAGCAGAAATCTAGATGAGGCAGGGTGAGACTATAGGACCATTCCTCTGTGGGGTGGGGAAGGATGGAGGGAGTACTCAGGCAAGCCTTTATAGAGAAGGGGCGTTTGAACTGGATCTTGA